TGTGCACGAAACGTCATCAGTTAATATTACTTTCTAACATTGTGTGATTTATCAAAATAAAATCTTATCCATAGTGGAGTTATGCTCTACGACGATGACCAAGTTTTATACTTATGTCAAAAATAAAAGTATAAATAAATAAAATCAAGTGACAAACACACCATAGTTTCTAATATCAGATTCTTCACTTATGCTACATTTACTGTTTTTATTATAATTATGGTTATCTCATTCACTCTTGCTATGATCATTAAGTGTAGAGATTTTAATTTTTATTAAGTCATCAATTTTGTCAAACTGTCAAGAACTAGATTTTCGAAATATGCGCGTATTTTACACAAACATATTTCAAACACAGACAATATTGAACATTGAATACAAAAATACATATCTGTCTTAGATAATTGCAGAAATCTTAGAAAATATATTGCCTAATGATTTGATGGATTTCTAGTTACTGTTTTTCGTAATTACATTATTTCTCATAATTTTAATCACTAACATTAGTGTCAAAGCGAAAAGACGATAAATAAATAAATGATTAACAGTAATAGTAACTGATGCATTCAATCTAATTATAATCTTTGACTAAAGAAACTATGTAAGACTCATAGCTGATAAGTTAACAAAGTTATTCTTAAAAAGTTTAATGACTGTGTGCATATTTATCATCATTAAATAAATAGTTTTATGCATCAACTCTGTGGGGATGTGTGTGTGTCAAATACTTATCACTGGATTGAAATAATGGATTAGACTGATAAAAGAAAGTTCATCTTAAATATCCAAAAGAGTAGTGGTAAATTTCATCGAACTAAAGTTTGGCTATAAACTTGGTTCTTGAGATTCTCGGTTTCAGCTTTTTATAAATTAAGAACTCCAAGGATTTGATTTAAGTATATTTGGTTAGTAGCGCTACTGTTTTTCAAAAGAATAGACACTTTTCACCTTAGATTTCTTTTCCATGTAAATAGATTTAACTGGTCCGTATATGACATGAATACACACATAACTATTGGTTGTCATTTTGCCGATAAGATTTACTTGCCTGCTTTTAGACTGCTAGTTTTGACAAATTTTGAATTTAAAGTTAATTATGGTTCTAGTGTCAGTGCGATTGGGCATAGTGACAGATTCATTTTACTTTTCCCCAGAGATTACAGCTTTAGGAAACTTCCCTATTACCTTTTTGAACTTCTCCCTGATACATGTTGTTTGGTGACACTTTATGACTAATGGAATCTTTTGTTATCCAGGTAAATCTCTGTTTCTTTCGGGTGTCAACTGCAGGTGAAACTCTAATTACTGACGAAGCTTTTTTAATTTGGTAAATGATAATGTTCCATTTCATTTGTTTATTGACTCCTTCTTCATTCCAATAACATGCTGTCACAAATTCGTCTATATTTACTTATTTGGTTTGATAAAATTTGAGGACAATATCAAAAAATTTAAACATCATTACCTTAACAAATCTTTTGAACTGTTACTCATGCAGACCATCAATATTCATTGCTGCAATCCTTTACTGAAATCTTTAAAATTGGTGGGATGATGTGAAGCATATTAGATGTCAAGGTAAAATAAGTTGACAATCAGTTGCAACTGTAATTTGTACAATATATAACAGTGTAGATAATAGTTGAAAATATAAATTCCCGAAACGAATTCAAAAGGTTAATAAAGCAGAATTTAATGAATTCATCAAATTTCGGTAGAACTTTTCCTCAACTGATTACTACTCTACATACAGGGATATATATTTCATTGGAGATACATTGGGAGATTCAAGACTGATAAGCAAATAAACTACATTGAATGATTCATACAAAACGACACGTGTGAATGTTTTCCAGGTCATGTTCAAATAGATGAGGGAAAAGGAGTATGAGAGATTAAAATTAGGATAAAATGCATTACGCTGCAGTCACATGACCAAGATGAACAACTTGTCATTGGAGAATATATCAAGAATTGCGAACTGAGCAATAGTAATAGTTATAGTTATAATAATAATAATAATAATAATGTTGAGACGAGTTAAGATAATGTTACTGATAAAATATAGTTTTAAGTGAATCAATAATAATAATAATACGTAGAATAAAATGTTAATAATAATAACAGTTAATAAGTAAAACGTATTACCATGGTAGATTCAGAGTGACGACGACTTCCTTTTGTACACATAGACCTGGTTTATAACCTCGAATTGCACAAGCCTCCGCAATTGAAAACATCTTGCTGTTTGTTTGTTTGCTGACAATAGTGAATGACTTGATAAAGTCGATGTCATATCCATAGTCCACAAGATGTTTTGTTATTGAGGTTTTTGGCACTTTTCATTCAGCTGTTTTCAGCCATTTTGGCGAATGCTCCATCATGCGAGTAGACAATCACCTTTCTGTACGATCTATGTATTTGCTTTCACAAACACACTCAAATTCATATACGCATTTTGAAGTGTCGAGGATTGGCAACTGGTTTTTCCCAGATTGTTGAAGCACTTGCTCGGTGGTGCTGAGGAAAACAAGTTTTGCGGCATAATAAGTTCTCCTGATAGCTTTATCGAGTTCTCGTTTGACTACCTCTTGTACATGATCTCCTTTGATTCACAAACTGATATAGACAGATTTCTTTGGAACACTTTGGATAGTTCTGCAGGGACTCATTTCTTTAGAGTACTATTAATGAACTTCTTATGGTATCCATTCTTAGATAATATATCCTTCAGAGACTTTATTTCAAGTTCAATCGTACTGTTAAAACAAACTTTCATGCTCTGTTGAACAGTGTTCTGAATAAGTTCTTTTTACACTGGATTGGAACAAAACTTTTGAAAGGTATTTCCATGTCCTGTCCATGGATGTTTCACGTGCTGCCTAATAATTAGAAAACCATTCGGCAAAATAAGTTGTTTAATAAAGCAGGAATTAATGCCAGTAAAAAGTTTGAGCATTGTGGAATAGATCAAATAAGGTATAATTATATTTCAGTGGTTAACACACAATGATGAGTTTTTGTTGTTGGTAATATTTCGAATTACAAAACAATTCCAACAGTTGCTGTGATCACGGGCAGTTATCTGGCTCGAAATATTACCAATTACATACACTAACCATTGTGTGTAAACCATTGAAATATAATTAAACTTTATCAGGAATTAGTGAATTCATCAAATTTCGGTAGAACTCTCTTCCCTTAATCTATTTGAACACGACCTGAAAAACACTCACACGTGTCGTTTTGTATGAATCATTCAATGTAGTTTATTTGCTTATCAGTCTTGAATCTCCCAATGTATCTCCAATGAAATATATATCCCTGTATGTAGAGTAGTAATCAGTTGAGGAAAAGTTCTACCGAAATTTGATGAATTCATTAAATTCTGCTTTATTAACCTTTTGAATTCGTTTCGGGAAATAAGTGTTTCAAATCTCATATTTGAACTAAGAAATTCTGAGTTGAAGTCAATGAGAAAAAGCTTTGAATTAGTTCTCCACTATTTTCTCGCCCAGTGTATAATTCCTTCTTTCTGATTTAAACTAAGCAAACTACTCGAATTACAGTGTTAGTGTAGTTTTCTATTTCTTTAGGCAAATACAAACATACATACACACAGAGTACATGCTGACATTTAACTGATGTAAGCATCTAATTTCAAGTTATTACAATGAAAACGGTTAATCTGACCAGATTTTCATGACTCACTCCTCAATCAAGTTAGTACCTACTTTCCAATGAATCCTATCAAACAAGATAGACAGATAAATAAGGAAATAAAAAAAATGAATAGTCACACTTATTCTCTGAATATTTATCAACAATGGGTTGACTCTTTTGTTAGTATGAATCAAAGGGAGTAAGTTTACACATTTGTCGATCCTGGTTTATGCAAAGGAGAGATGAAATAATCGTTAAAAAAGACAAATGGCAGGGAGGATGCGATGCCACAGAAAGAATTTTATCTAACGCCTTTTGATGTAATCTACGTCGGATAACATCACGATATCCATAGGCGTTTCATTTGCAAATTGTATCATGCATAGGAAATACTCATCGCTATATTATTGGAAAATGAAAAATATTTAGAACACAATATTTGAAATGTTTTGATAACGCATACGGCCATCAAGACTGATAAGAGTGATTGGAAGCCACTAGCTTTGATTAGTACAACTTATTATCCAGATCTAGATCATCTATTCACCGACTGCCTGTTATGTTTATACAGTATCACAAAATCATACTCAACACTGAAACTAGTATTGAATGCATCTAGAAAATAAGTTTTCATAATAATAACCATAACATCTTTATTCTGGACAGTATTTATAAAATCTACAGAATTTTCAGAGGAGTTTTTTGTATGATATTTTCCATTCGTACAATATCTTCAAGTAAAATATTAATTGACAGCAGTATATCCCGTGACACATTTCTCTCTGAGCTGAAGCACAAACCATTCCATTTTGATATTTCTGCTTTGTCTCCTTCAAGAAGCCCACAATATCTGGTTGAGAGCCAATTGTAAGATGTTCAGAAGTACATTTTGAGACTCAAGGACATAACTGAAGAACAGTTATCTCATGTATTGGAACACATTGCCGCCCACAATCAGGCCTTTCCTCAAGTTTAGTAGGAAATTTTTAATTTTAAATACACACAAAAGTAGATAATACCAAAAGAGGTCATATCTTAGTCGATTAAAACAAAGCGAACGAGAGAAAATATATGCAATGGGGAGATGGAAGTTTTCGGTTGCCCAAGTATTAACCTGGCTACCAGTTTCCGGTGTGCAGAACAACGATGTAACATTGAATTGCCTTCCTCCTCTTAAATGTCAATTAAGACTGTTTCTAAAAGTGATTGAAGTATCACGTGCTTTTAAGTGTTTCTTTCAGTTGGCTCACATGTTTCACTAAGAAAGTTAAAATTATAAATTTTCCAATCAAATTCTAATGCCCCTTTTTATATTTCTCTTTTTCTCCATTTTATAGATTTATATATATAAAACAATACGTATATGAGATGGAGAAACAGTGCTTAAGATGAATATCAAGAAATAGCTATCCTCTGGCTTCAGTGTGTATTTTTCTATTTGGCTTTGATATAATGAAGAATATGCTCAAATCACTATTACTATTAGATAATATTTCAATTCGTATTTTATTATTGTTCATCTGGCGTGATGCCATAACTCAGAACACTAAGAATGCAACAGCAAATCGTTTCATCAGGTCTACATCACTTTCTATGATTAATTTTAATGGTTTACCAATAGCACGTGTTTATGCAAGTACACCAGAAGAGGTAACACCTGGTAGCCTTGTTCTGGATTTGAGTAAACATCCCGAAATAATCAAATTTCTAGCTGATCAAAGTGATTTTCTAATGTCTACAACTGGAGCTTATCGATACAGACTACTGAATGCATTCGACAGTTACTTATTCCGTGTAGGATCAAAAACTGGCAAGATAACTGTTGCTACACGACTAGATCGAGAAGCATTATGTGCAAGTGTAAAAGCACAGTTCTGTTGTAATTCACGTTCTGGAAGTATACCGGCCTCATTTTCAAGTGAAACTGATTGGAAAATTAAGTCGGCCGAGTTTAATCCAGGTCAGCAGTGTTATTTAGTGGCACATATTAGTGTACAGTCAGATAGTGAGGTGATTCGGAATGCAGACAGTTTCCCTGGACCCCACCAGGACAAAACAAGTCGTGCAGCTCTGGTGTACCTTTATCTACATTTAGAAGATATCAACGACCACACTCCTCAGTTTCCAGAGCACTTAGTTGATCTAAACATCATGGAGGATACGCCAATTGGTAGTGTTCTGCATTATTTCAGAGTTACTGATCCTGATGTGGGTTCGAATTCACTGAATTCAGTGGATTTAACAGTCAGTCCACTGCCTAATTTACCGTCAGATCAGACGTCGAAATCTCAACAGACTAATTTTTTGATACCTGACTTATTGAATAAACCTTTCGAAGTAACGCTGAACAGAGATGGTGTAAGTTTCACTCTCAAAAGTCAATTAGATCGGGAGACTGTCCCAGCTTATGACGTAACACTGATTGCTGTGGATGGCAATAAACAAATTCCCCGTTCAAGTCAAATCAGTTTTCGTGTACATGTGGCCGATGTCAACGATAACCCACCTAAATGGCTTAAACAAAAGTCACACAGTGATTTACAGAATTCAAATTATGAGCAAGAAACAAGTTTAGAAATGGATAGTGATTATCCAAGATTTTTAGTCTCTGTACCAGAAGATACACAGATAGGCGCATTGATTTTCTGGCTTCAAGCACGAGATGCAGATGTAGGTGAGAACTCTCGCCTTCAATATTTAATTGATACAAGCGCGCCTGGAGGATTAATTGGGGTTGACTATTTATCAGTTCAGCCGAATACTGGGGAAGTACGGCTAAGATCCCAGTTGGACTATGAGACGATTTCACTACAGACTAGTGGTCCTGAAATTGTTATTCCTGTTGTAGTGCATGATAATCCACGTAATGGACGTCAACTATCAGCTCGAGCTACGCTTGTCATCAGAGTTCTAGATATAAATGATGTGCCTCCCAATATAATTGCAACTCCACTGTCTCCAGTACTTTCAAACGGTAACATTTATCCAAATATAGTTGGAAATAATCATGTTACATCTGTTTTTGGTATATGGGAAAATCAGCCACCTGGTCAACCAGTGGCCAGTATTCATGTTAGTGATCCAGATACGGGTGATGGGGGAGTTGTAACATGTACAATTGCCAGTGAACATTTTCGTCTAGCAACTGAATCCTCTTCGTCTGCATCTCATTATGAAAACTTATATGGCAGTAATAACAACCTAGAAACAATGGAGTCTGATTACAGAGTATCAAAAGTGATAGAAGCACTATCCGGTTCTGCCACCTACCAGCTTATATCTGCCCAGCGTTTAGATAGAGAAACAATATCGAGACATCAAGTTCTCCTTACATGTAGAGATCACGATGCAGTAAGACCACTTGCATTCACTTATAGATTAGACATTGAAGTATTGGATGAAAATGATAATCCACCTATAATATCATCACATAAAATTTTATTAACATGTCCAGAAAATGGGTCACCTGGAAGAGTTATTGGTCGACTGAATGCTACAGATGCTGATATCGGTGAAAATGCCCGACTGCACTTTTGGATTGATGAGGCCGATGCCAGTTGGGTCAGTATACAGTCAAATACTGGAGAGATTCGAGTTAATACAGTATTCGATAGGGAATTAGAGCCTGAGCGTACATTCTATGTTTACGTATCCGACTCTGGTGCTAATATACACACAGCTTCAGCTGAAGTTAGAATTGAAATTCTCGATGAAAATGATCACACACCACATTTTACTGATTTGTACTTCTTCTCCATACCGGAAAATAGTCCACCGGACACAGAAGTTGGTCAAATTTATGCCATCGATGAGGATAGTGGAGTTAATGGCAAGGTATGTCAGATTGTGTTTTGGTATACTCACACACTAATTTGAAGTATTTTAGTATGTCTTTAACAATTGAATATTAAGTAGTATCATGATGTAAAAGTTTTAATCAGTCGAATTCATAATCTCAGAAGTACATATTTGTTGTGAAAATTTAAACGAAGAATTTGATTGAATATGATAATGAGGGTTCTGTTAGTTTAAACTCATTTGACTTAATGGTCTACGAACTCGCCTTGTAACTGGAAGGTTCTGAGTTCCAACCCCACGGTATCGGTACGTACTGATGAAGAGTCCCAGACTAGGACTAAATAGTTGTCCAATACTCCCAGCTGGTTTTGTAATGGTTCTCTAACCGATGCCAGCCCATGATTAAATCCTGTAACCAACCAATACTTGAATGTCTGAGTTGAATCAAACCGCGTAAACCACTGGTAAGCTTATCTCACAACGATCAAAACGGTTATACAATGTTTACATAATTTCAATCTGGTTGGCAAGAACCAATGGTTGACAAGAGGTGATTTCTGAATACTTATTTATAATTTAGAAATTAGATTTCTGGAGCTCTGAACTAGTCTACTATATGGAACATTTTAAGGAAGTTTGGAATATCCACATGTTGAAGATTTGATAAGGATAGTGTCTACACCAGATTTTTAAAGTTTTATGGACATAAGTGCTATCAGAATGTCCAGGTTTCTCTATCACACCATTTGGTCTCCAGCTGGCAGTTATAGACGGTACTTTAACTCTGATGTAAAGCATAAGCCTTCTCAAAGTTTCATATTTCCCACAATAACTATCACCAACAATTATGAGACCCTGATGATTTGAGGTTACCTGCGAATTGATTCCCTCGAACAATCACTGTGGAGATACTTTCATTTTCAGGTAGTTGGTTGATGTTGTTTTTACGCGATAACGAGGGAAATGGGTTGCCAGTTTACGTCTCTTAAGATAATTTATGTGATGACTGATGATGTCATTGAGGCGTTAATGTTACTCAAAGGTGGTGCTGAACAACTACGTGATATCCTTCTATTAATCCTATCCTAAAAGTCATTTTGCATACTACAAATTTTGCCATTACTACTGACAACAGTAGTATCGTTAGTAACACGGCTAGTAGAAGTAGTAGTATTAAGGCTACAGCAATCTAATCTGCTAAAAAAACTATGAATCACCTAATATAATTATGGTTATTACTGTGTGGGTTTTCCAAAAGAATAAGTAGTTCACTTAGCTTACACTTCATGAGATTCATAAAATTACCAAAAAGTGAGATCAAACTTAAAAAGTAGGTCGAGGAAATAATGGTTGTTGCACTTATTCCCTTTCTACCGAGAGTTCCAGCTTTCTAATTCGAAATGCAATGGCTTCTACAGTTTGGCGTATTCGACACCTCGTGGATTCGATAATTTATTAAGTACAGGATAAAAGAATAAATCATAATCTAGTAACAATATGCATAGATGTTCACTGCCCTGAAATCCGCATGGAAATGTACTTCATACAGTATGAAGAACAAGAATCGGATTTTCAACACCTATCTCAGGTCAGTGATTCTATACAGTTCGAAGAGATTTGGTGCATCAAGAAAGACATTTCCAGCAGACTGTTACAAACGTGCATCAACATTTGCCTTCGCCCGCTGGTGAAGATCAGTTGACTGACCAAAGAGGATTGGCCCTAAGCAACTTTGGGAACGGAACAACCAAGAAACTTCTGCCAAACAAACATGCTGAAGGACATACAGATGAAATATAATTATAATTTATTTGATCTGTTCCACAATCCTCACACTTTTTACTGACATTGAAATGGAGATGAACTGGACACACACTGAGGAGATCGCCGAGTGACATCATGTGCCAAGCACTGGAATGGAACCTGAATGAAAAACTACAACTTAGTGGCTGCAAGTTGATATGGAGGGGATCGTTTAAGGATGAGAGGTTAGCTTTATGAACAACCTTGGAAACAGCTAAAATGGGCTACAGAAAATAGGATTAAATGGAAATGTACTGTTCAAGTCCTACATCCAGCACAGAACTCAAGAAGTTGATAATAACGATATATTCACATACATTACTTGAATTTCATCCTAATGATTTGGTGTTATGAAAAAACATTGGTGTTGTCAATATCAAATATTCTCTAACTATTACAGATGTATAATTGCAGAACCTGATGAGGAATTTATCAAAAAGTATGTTCTTCGCTCACTAATCAGTAATTTGAAATAATGATAATGATAGTATTAATAAATATCATGAGAGAAATACACTAACTGATCTTCAGAACACATATAAATGACCTCAGAGATTTAAATAAATCTCTCTGAACCATGGTTTCGGTTGCAAAAGCTCATTAAGCTGTGTTTATTCATGTGAATTAGCAAGGTGCCCATCAACTTCTTGTTTTAAATAGTCATGCTGTTTTGCCGAAGAAAGCTTGAAACAAACATGTTTTGAGCTTAACATATGTAAACTCTGTATGATTGAATCTGTATACATGTATCAACCTTTGAATCTTATCTGATGGGTGGGAAACTCATTATGCTGTTAGATTACTACGTCATGGGTTGGTACTAAGTGGAAAACCGTATGAACCAGTGTTCGACTGCTTTCCATTGGAATTCCTAAGCATTTAATGATAATAAGCCATAATAATAATAATAATTGAATGAAGTAATGTTATCCAACAATGGGATTAAATAAATAGTCTTCTCACAGTATTAGAAATCTTCAGAATGCATCCCTTCATCGGAGTTTGGAAGGACAGGGAGGTTATCTCACTAGGAACGGTATTACTCTTGACTTATTTAGACCCTAGGCAATTATAATTAATGTTTAATCTGATTGGTTTCAGTAATGATGACAAATAATTTAAACTTAACATCTCAATAAATTATCTATATATCAGTGAAAACGTATGATATTATAATATGTACAACAATGATAGTGTCGCCTTCATTTCTTACCAGGAAATATATGTACATACACATGTGTATTTTATAGAAAAACAAAGAAACAAGTGAATAATGAGTTTATTATTGACTGCTCTAGTGACAGTTACACCAACATAATAATAATATCAACATTCATAACAATTGTAATAAGTGATATTTCTTTCCACAAATTTAAGCAAAGATCCTGCTAAAATTTACTAAGGATGCATTCTCAGCTAACTACTAATTATTGTAATAGTGTGTTTTGGGAAATATCTGTTTTCTCAATATCCCTACTGATTCAACCAATCGGATAGATTATATGATTTTAATGGCAGTAACCTGGCTGGTCGATATGTATGCTATGTGAACCTACATTTCATCTATACTGGCTAACCCGTATACTCAGTAGAGCTTTCTAGTAAATAACCCTTTTATTCTCTGTAGAAACCTCGCCTAGTTAACTAGTTCGCTAGATTTCTAGCCGGTCCGAAGTCCGGATAATGAGGGAGGGTTGAACGTGGAGATAGTTACCACACACCACCAATTCTTTCCAACCGCTAGAGAATATTTGACACACAGAAAATATAATTAAAATACAAAAACTTCAAGTAAAAATCTTACTCTTCGATCGAATCGGATAGGTGAAATGGTGCGGGCTGGTAAAAGCTTTCGGGAAGCCAGTCAGATAGCCGATGTGTCTTCTCTCGGTGAAAGCAAGAGTAAGAATGGGAATGTAGCATGTTCGTACAATGTACAAGACTGGCTGGGCTGGTTGGCTGCCCAGGTTGCCAAGGATATTCGAAGATATGGCTCAGAAGTACTGGGTATCTGCGAAAGCAGATGGAATGAATGTGGATTGACAACATTGTCAACGGGAGAGTCAGTAATCTACTCCGGCCACCCAGGCGACAACCACGAGCACACTGAGGAAGTGGCTATAATGATGTCGCCAGCGGCAGCCAAAGCTCTAATGCAATGGGAACCAATATCATCCAGGATCATGACAGCAAGATTCAACTCAAAAGGAAGGAAGGTTAGAATTATTCAATGCTACGCACCTACAAACAACGCAGAACAAGACAAGAAGGAAGATTTTTGCAGACAACTGCAAACACTAATGGACAACATCCTAAATGGTGAAATCCTCTTGGGCGATATGAACGCCAAACTGGAACCTGATAATACAGAAAGAGAACTCATCATGGGTCGAGAGGCTGTCGGACAAATCAATGAGAACGGAGAATTATTCACAGACTTCTGCGTTTTCGATGGTTTGGCGATCGGAGGTAGCTTGTACAAGCACAAGGATATACACAAAGCGAAATGGGTTTCGCCTGACGGACACATCACAAACTAGATAGATTTCGTCTCAATCTGAAGGAAGTGGAGACTCAGCCTGCTGGACACAAAATCGAGTGGGGGAGCAGATGTGGGCTCAGACCATCATCTAGTTCTAGGAGCCTTCAAGGTGAAGCTAAAATCCATGAAAACAACTGGAGACAGACCACAATTCAAGTTCAATATTCAGAAACTGAAGGATAAAACTGCAGGGGATGCGTTCACCACAGATCAAATCAGAGCAAAGTCGGACACACTACGTGGCATCACTGAGGAAAACTGTGTGGAAGAACATTGAAAATCTCTGAAAGCGATATTTAAGGAGACGTGTACAACTGTTCTAGGAAGAAGGAAGAGACCAGCCAGGACGAAGAATGGCTGTCAACGGACACCTGCCTGGAAGCTAATACAAGAGAGGAGAGGAGAATGGTGAGAGAGAGAAGATAATTCAATGCAAATATGGACAACAGAAGGAGAAGCTTAGTTCAATGTACACTGCACTGAATAAAGCAGTAAAGAAGAGTGCTAGGAAAGACAAACGACAATTCTACGACACATCGACAACTGAAGCAGAGCAAGCCGCAGGCAAAAGAGATCTCAGGACATGATATCAAATAACCAGATCTCTATCCGGGAAGAGATCAACCCAGGTGCTGAAACCAATAAAATATGCTCAAGGAAACCAGATTGCCAAGGAGGAGGAACAAATAAA